ATTTATCTCCTCGAAAGAGAAGAGGAAGAAAGTGAATGAAAGAAAGAGCATGTCCTGTTTTCCATACAGAAGGAACGGTTCCTAGAAGGTATTTCCATCTGGACAATAAACCTTGAGAAGTTCAGAAAATTGGCTTAGGTCTGTCTCTTCCCATGGTGTTCTTCTAGGGCAGAGAAAGTAGCACCGAGGTCACGGGGAAATACTCCTGGTCAGAGAGGAGGAGGTAGAACCTGTGCCACCATGTCTGGCCAAGGTAGGAACATCTTCCAGACTTATCACCCATAGTTCATCTTGTTGGAAAGGACGGACAAAGAAGGTTAGCCATGTGTGAATCCCTCGGCTTTATGGATGTCCTTCACCTGTCTTTCCTTGTTTTCACCTGGAATGTTTTGCTGTAGCTACTACCTTCTTTCTGAAGGGAGTACACATAAAAACAGCAAATATACACAAAGAAAAGCAGAATCGCTCATGGATAGCGCAGTGCTTTAGGCCTCAGATTCCTCGGCCTACAAACCCCATCGTTCCCCACTCTTGACGTTCTACTTGACTTACGCTTCTGTCCTGAGCTGCGTGGTCCAGCCTTGGTGTGTTTGTTTCCGACACAGGCAAGAGATTTCCTTTTTCAGAGTAAAAGATAACAAGGATCAACATAGCACAAGAGGGCGCTAGTACTCTATTGTTCGGAGCAGAAGCCGGCTGCCTTTTCCTTCCTCCACTGGATGGGCGAGTCTGTGTCGGTACACGGTTGCAGCAGCCCAGATACGTTGCAATTTAACAATATTTGCACAGTAAAGCACATAACTGGAGGGTCTGCTGACGCAGGGCGGCTTGGGAGGACCAGCTGGGTCTAGGTTTTCAGAAACCGTTCTGCTGAAAACTAACAGCCGTTGAAAGTTTGCGTGTCTCACTATGAAAAATATCTGCAACCCTGCATTATGTATTCCGTCTCCATGTTGCAAAGATGAGCCGTCCAAGTGGCAGGATAAAATCTTAGAAAAATTATTATCCGCCCCCCCCCCAAGCGAGCCCCCAGCACTCCACACTTCCCATACTCCTGATTCACACAGGGTCAAGGGAGATATAGGAGACTGAGCCTTCTAATTACTGCCTTACCCCCATCACTGACCACCATCCAGTCCTTGCTAAACTCTTTCCTCATCTGGACGCAACGCAACATGGCCTTTTCTGCTCAACCGCTTCCAAGCTCAAGCTAGTAGGCTTTCGAAAAGAACTGGCCATGTTTAGCCTTGGAAAAAGAAGACGGAGGGCACGCAAGGCGGCATTCTTCAAATACCTGATGGGTTGTCCTACAGAGGAAGGGCAGGATCTGTTCTTGATCATCTGAAGATTGCAATAATGGGCTCAAGATAAAGGTCAGGTTTAGGCTGAGTATCAGGAAAAAACTTCTTAACTATTAGAGCAGTACGACAATGGAGCCCATGACCTTGGGAGGCAGTGAGCACTCCAACACTGGAAGGCGTTCAAGAGAAACTTAGACAACCCACCTGGCAAATCTCCTTTGATTTGTATTCCTGCCTTGAGCAAGGAGTTGGACTTGATGACCTTATAGGTCCCCTTCTAACTTCACTATTCTATGATTCTATACAGTGGTGCCCCACGTAGCGACATTAATCCATTCCAGGATTAACGTTGCTATCCAGATTTGTCG